CGGATTGTCTGATTGGTTACATTTACTTGCGTGAAGTCAAGCGTTCAATGCATGTATGTAAGGTTTCGTACATAATGCCTTTTCTCAGAGTATTTATAGTGAAATTTGCAGATAATGCCCAATTTTAAAATAAAATTTCATATTTCCAGACATATTTTTGGAAATTTGATAAAATAGGGTGATATATTAGACATTCAGGAGTCACATAAGCTAAAAATCTCAATTTTGAAAAAAAAATGTACTTAATGCATTTTCTCAGAGCAGGGCAGTATAGCTGGCACTACCATCGCAGCGTAGTTCACTGGTCGAAGACCATTTAGCCATCAGGCCCATAATGAAAACGCCGTTGTCTTTTTTTAGGCCGTTAAGATGTGTATAAGAGACAGGTATGGATATGATTCTAATGTACTAAAGTAAAACATGAGTTACGTAATTTTTAAGATACCTTACAATATTTATGGTAAATTTACAAAATATGGTGAGTTTAGGTGATTTTTTAACTACTTGACCGTGATTTTATTTTTAAGGTTGGTGGGGGCGGGGGTTTCCTCAAAAACTTTGATGACCCCATAATCATCTTAACCATTCGTCATTTGTGAACCATATTAAGTAGGCATAAACTTTAGGTCAACGTTCAATGTCATGTATCTTAATTTTCTGTGCGCACGTCATAACGTGCGCGTACGCATGCGTCAAAATTAATATATGCTTAGAAATCATGCCTATTTTTAATCAGTTATAGCTCCTTAAGACCCCTAATTTATATATATATATATATATTCTGAAAGCACATGAGTTGTAGATATGATTTTATGGATCATTATGGCTGATCGGACACTGTGACGTCATTATATTGCCATCTGAATTAAGAAAAAAATGAATTTTTATTTATGACGTTATTTTTATAATCGTTTGAACGTATCTCACTCATTCTTGATTGATCGTCTCCCACCTGTGAGTATGGTATAGCTGAGACAATTCTCTTACGGAAGTGTCATTTCATTTTTCATTTTGACGACGTTATCATGGTAAAATGAATTAATTTTTGGACCCCTCTCATCTATTTTTATTGAAATTTGTGCAACAACAGAGGGCGGCAGACTATATTTCGACGCTATAAGACTGATTTAACATAGTTCATATGAAAGGAAAATTCGTGTCATTACCAACCTACATGCGTTTTTAAATTAAACATTAACAAAGTTCAATTTCTTGTACTATTACCGTCCTCGCGCACGTCGTGACGTGTGTGTTAAAATTTTAAAATTGTCAGTATCACTTTTCAGATAATTTAAAACATGTTTTAGGTCATTTTCAGCATTCCAAAACTTCCCATAATCTACACCCCACATGCTCATTTTCACACGCATAGTAATATACTGAAGCTAGAACTTACGCTTTCTTACATATCTTGGGTTCCTGACACTCTATTTATATCAGGAGTCAACATTTTTTTGCCATTACCGTGCGCACAGGCGTCAAAACCTGCGCGTACGTATGCGTAAGTTTTTTTAAATGCTGAAAATTACTCAATGCTCAGACTGACATTGAAGGTTCTTTAAAATTTTTAAAAAGTGATATTGAGAATTTTGAAATTTTAACGCACGCGCACATTTCGATGTATGTGTGGATGGTAATGGCACACGAAATTAAACATTTTCAAGTGTTTTTAAAACCGCCTGTTTGTTGGTAATGCCACACGAATTTTCTCTTCATATAACTTATATATCAGTCTGATAGGTTTGAAATACAGTCTGCCACCCTCTCTGTTCTATTGTGTTTACATCTTTTCAGAAAAAAAGATAAAAGGGCTCCAATAAATCATTCTTTTGGACCATGATGATGTGATCAAAATGAAAAATATAGGCCGCGCCCGGGACACTTCCAAAAGAGAATTGTCTCAGCTATAACATCCTCACAGGTGGGAGACGATCGATCAAGAATAAGAGAGAAACGTTCAAATGAGTTTCAAAATAATGACGTTCCTAATAAAATTCAGTTATTTTAAATTCAGATATGAAAGAGATTTGTCTCAGCTATAACATACTCAAAGTTGTTAGACGATAGACCAAGGATAAGCGAGATACGGTCAAATGCATATTTTAAAAAATGACGTAATCGATAAAATCAGTTTTGTTGAATTCAGATGGAAATATGATGACGTCACATTCTCCGATCAGCAATAATGATCTATAAAATCATATCTCATGTGCTTTCAGAATGTTAAATAAAAGTTTGGGGTCACCTTTCATCATAAGGAGCTATAACTGATTAAAAATACGCATAATTTTAAGAATACGGTATATAAATGTTGACGCATGCGTACGCTCACGTTAAGACGCGCGAATGGAAAACTGTGGTACCTGACATCCAACCTTGACCTGAAGTGTATGCCCATTAATTATGATTCAGAAATGGCGAATGGTTAAGATGATTATGGGGTCTTCTATGTTTTGAGAAAGAAAGATGAGGGGTTCTGAAAAAACATTTATTTTGACCATGATGACGTCATCAAAATGTAAGAAAAAGTCACATATATGAAAGAGAATTGTCTCAGCTATAACCTACTCAAAGTTGGGAGACGATTGAACAAGGATAAGCGGAATACGTTCAAATGCGTATTTTCAAAAATGACGTCATCGATAAAATCAGTTTTGTTGAATTCAGATGGCAGTACGATGACGTCACAATGTCCGATCAGCCATTATGATCTATAAAATCATATATTCAACTCATGTGCTTTCCGAATATGTAATAAAAATTGTGGGTCATCTTTCATCCTAAGGAGCTATAACTGATTAAAAATAGGCCTTACTTCAGCATATTTTCACTATGTATCAGCACAAATACGCGCAAAGATCCCTATGTTTGATGCGCACGTACGACATTCCTATTAGCCATAAGTTGACCGAAAAGAATGGAAATTTGTGAAAACAATTTCAGGAACCCAAAATATGTAAAAAAATAACGTAATTTCTAGCTTCCGTACGTGCTGCGCGGGTAAAAGTGTGCGCGCGTAGTGAAAAATTTCAAAAAATGCTCAAAATGGCCTGAAACGTGCTCTAATTTAGTCAGAAAGTGATTTCGAGCATTTTGAAAATTTGACGCACGCGTACGCGCGTGTTATGAAGCGCACCTGTAAAATTATGGTACATTACATTTAATATTAACCTGAGGTTAATGCTCACTTAATACGATTTCGAAATGGCAATTGGTTAGGTTGATATGATGGATAATGCAAAAACGCAAAATTGCGCGTAGCTGACGTCACGCATGACTGGTCACCTTGAAAACCTTACCGTAACTATTCCAGACGAAGCCAAAATGTTTGATGAAAGACCGTGTGATTTGCTCTTAGCAATTTTAAGATATCGTGCGAACAATAAATGTAGAGAAAGTGAGAATTAAAAAAAAGATGATGGCTAGACACTAAGGACGAATTTGGTGATCCGCCGCACTTTGACCCTCAGGAATTGCGCGCGGTGCAGATTGAAAAGTTTTAAAATGCTCAAAATGGCCTAAAATATATGCTCCAATTAGTTTTTTTTTTTAAAAGAGTAATTTTTGAGCATTTAAAAAGATTTACGTATACGTACGCGCACATCTTGACGCCTAAGCGCACGGTAATGACAATAAATGTTGACTCCTTATATAAATACAGTGTCAGGAACCCAAAATATGTAAGGAAACGTAAATTCTAGCTTCAGTATGTTACTATGCGTGTGGAAATGAGCATGTGGCGTGTAAATTATGGGAAGTTTTGGAATGCTGAAAATGACATGAAACATGCTTTAAATTATCTGAAAAGTGATATTGAAAATTTTAAAAGTTTAACGCACACGTCATGACGTGCGCTTGGACGGTAATGGTACAAGAAATTGAACCGTGTTAATGTTTAATTTAAAAACGCATGTAGGTTGGTAATGACACGAATTTTCCTTTCATATGAACTATGTTATATCACTTATTTCCTTACTTACTCAGCTATTGTCGATCCATTGCTGGATGAAGGCCTCAGCATGACTTTTTCAAAGTTTCCGATCTTGTGCAATGTTTGACCAATTACAGGTTTTCCAATATTGATCTATCTCGTCTCTATCTTTTCCTTGGTCTGCCCCCCCCCCACCTTTTTTTTTCTGGTAAGGTGTCCACTCAATGATTAAAGCACTCCATCTGTTATTGTTGTGTCGTGAGATGTGTCCTGCCCAGTTCCATTTCCTTTTCTTAATCGTTGTGATTAAATTGTTGACTCTTGTCTGGTCTCTAATCCAATTAAGTGTTTTCTGTCTTTAAGTGTGATGCTCAACACACTTCTTTCCATCTTGAATTGTGTCACTGCAAGTTTGTGCTGAAGGTTTTTTGTGATGGCCCACGTTTCACTGCCATATGGCTGGGATAATTATTAAATGACTTTTGGAAGTCTACAATGACTATCTATAATTCTAAACTGAATTCTTGAAATTTTTCTTGAAGCTGATTCATTGTATAGATGTGGTCTGTTGTGGATTAGCCCTGCCTAAATCCAGTCTGTTCTTTAGGTTGATTTTCATCTAGGATGGTTTCAAGCCTGGTGGTAAGAATTCTGCTGTACAGGTTTGTACAGGTTTGATAATAGACAGATGGGGCGATAGTTTGTCAGGTCTTCCTTATATCCCTTTTTTGTGTATCAGGATCATGTTTTCCTCTTTGCGAGTAAGCTGCCTGTGCCCAGTGATTTCCCAAATTTCATTTTATTGATAGCATGCCTGACTTCTCAGCTCGTTATTTTAGGTATTGATGATTTCTTATAATAATGTGGTTGTAGTGGTGAAATGTTGGTGTTGTATAGGTCTTTATAATATTCTTCGACTCTTTTTAGGATTTGGTCTTGGTCATGGATTGCTGACCCTCCATTGTTCTTTAGACAGTTAATCTTTTGTTCCTTTAGACATCTGTTATTATCAATAGTTAATTTAATTTCTGTAGTGTTGTACCTTCTAATATCTCTCTTAGTTTCTTCCTAATTGTCTTACATGCATTGTTTCTGCATATTTTGTTTCGCCAACTATTCCCACTGTTTTTCATCACTCTCCCTTTTTCCATTAGTTTTTTTTTGGTTTCTTCTGAGATTTTGGTCGATCTTGTGCTTTTACTTGTTTTTGCCTGTAACTTTTATAGCCAAGTCTTGTATTATTCTGGTAAATAATCATTAAAAAATGATGTCTGCTTTCCAGTCTAGTGTTGGTACATGAGGCTCTTTCTCTCAGATTTCAGTTTCTAAGCTTTCAAATCTGTTCGATAGTTCTATTTGAAATTTTCCATTTTTTTCCTTTAACTTTGTTAAATTTGCTTTTGGGTGTTTGCTCTTGATTAGTTGTTCTTGTGTTAAACTTTATTTTTGCCATAACTAATTTATGGTCGCTCCCGGTGTTCACCTTGTTAATAACTGTAACATCTTTTATGATTTTTGGTTTGTCTGCAAGGATCAGATCAATTTCATTTCAGGTTCTTACATTTGGGCTCCTCCATGTCCATTTTCGATGGTCCTTTTTTTTTCTTCTAAAGAATGTGTTCATGATTTTGAAGTTGGTCTCCCCTGTCGTTTCCTTTACCACCTACTACACCTCGATCATTATCTTCAATTTTACCTACTTTAGCGTTGAAGTCTCCGATTATAAGTGAGTAATGTTCCTTCTTGCCATTTAAAATTTCTGTTATGTTTTCATAATGCTGCTATATTTTTTCGTTGCTGTATGTTGATGTTGGTGCATAAGTCAGAATAATTTTCATGTTGTATCTTTTGTTGATCTTGATATTGAGAACAGCTAATCTGTGGTTTATTCCTTTTATTTGTAGAATATTTCTTGCCAAAATTTTATGGATTATAAATCCCACTCAAAGTTGACTAGTGTTTTGAACTATGTGGTAGAAAATATGTCCGCTATTTAGTTGCATTAGTATTTTGCCATGTCTCCTGACTTCACAAAGTTACATGATGCCCCATTTCATTTTGCTTTGAAATTAGTTTGTCCTCTGCAAGGAGGGCTCTTACGTTGTACGTTCCGAAATTTAGGTTCCATTGGTGGCCTGTTCTAACCCAGAGATTCTTAGCTCCCCTTGTATCATGAAAGCTAACACTCATACCCGCTCCGACCTTCTCACTTACAAACCTAAACTTTATACTGCACGCATCCCCATGATCTTTAATTTCAATCCTGACACTCACAAATTATCTGAAATATTGGTCAATCAAAGATGACATGGGGTCATTAGGAGAAAAAAAACCCCAAAATGATATGAAAAAGACTACTTCTCTGATAAATATCATAGCACAGTGTTGTCCTTTTGCACATAAATGCATTGGCATTGGCAGAGTCTATAAGGTGTTCATGGATTTAGGGTCAAAGGTCATTAAGTGGCAATTTTGTTTTCTGGCAACATTTTAAAACGCTACTAGTGCTAAACGGTTGTGCCTATTTCAACTAAACCTGGTCAGTATAACCGGTGACACCTCTAATACATGTGATGTTCACAGCTTAGGGTCACAAGTCACATAGGAGTCATTATGGTCAAAAATTAAAAAAAAATGAATAAAAGACTTCTTTTGTCACAAATAACATAGCACAGTCTTGTCCCGGGCACATACGCATTGGTATAATGTTATGGTCTTTATGGTGTTCATGGATTAAGGGTCAAAGTTCAGTAAAGGGTTATTCTTTTGTTTTTTTCTGGTAACATTTCAAAATGGTGATTAGGAACGAGACATTTCCCCGGTGACCCCAGTCTAAGATCAGGGGTCACCGGGGTCATTGGGGTCAAATTTTCAAAATAGCCCAATTGAGGTCAAATCTACCAGGAATGATCCTTATGACCTAAACATGAAAAAAAAAACTATTAGACCTATAAATCACAATTCATAGGTCAAAGATCAGTCTTCCATATTTTTTGATGTTGCTCAAATTCATTAAGTATGGTACTTATGACATTGTATATAATATGTTATAATATGCTCTTAATGTCAATTAAGGTCAAACGACAAAAGTTGCAGAGTTTATTATTATGCATAATCACAAGACGCATAATTTAAAATCAAAAATCCTATTAAGCTAAATTAGAGGTACAGCTAGTGCAAAAATAGTGAAGTACGATCATTTTTTTTGTAAACACACATAGGACCAACCTAATTTTCTTTCTAAATCTGCACCTGTACAGTATTTACAAATTGTAATTAATAATAACAATATAAATTATAGCCCTGGAACAGGTCTAGTTTTAAATTTAATTTAATTACTATTGTGATGAAAAGATAATACAACTAGCTCAATAAAGAAGATAGGTTGGCATAAACTGACATAGACCTGTGAGAATTTTATTTGTTGACATTTATATTTCCAGAAAAAGGTCTACCTACCTTCTTCGATGGGGATAGGCTTCCCTGGCGAGGGTGGCCATAGCCCACTTTACAACCATCGGTTGCAAAGATAAAAAAGCAACCTATAGTTATGACCTTTTATTTTATCTCTTCACATTTTGAAAATGTTTTGCCAATCAGAAAATGATTCTTAGACAATTCTGAACCAGTTTCTGAAGTCAAATGTTCTAGACATGAAAGTGCATAACAAATCTGTTTTAGTTACTAGGGTAAACGGCAAACGTTTTAAATTATACAGTCGGACGCGAAGGGCAACACAATATTTTTTTTGACTTATATAATTCTGACTACCTCAAGTATACATTTAGTTGTTTCTTTGATAATATTTAAGCACATAAAATAATGTAAGAAACAATTAAAAAAAATCGGATCTCATGTAATGTCGGCATGCAATATATAACTATGGCAGTCATTAAATTAATTTAACTGTATTGTTAATTTTTTTTTAGCATCTTCAGAGGTACTATCTTTTGAACAGTTGTTATTACTGGTTGCTGGAAAAGTCGATTTACCACTGCTGAAATTTGCCGTAAAGGATTTCATAAAGGACGACTTTAAGCTTAAAAACATAAAGTGTGGGAGAGACCTGTTAGGTGTATTACATAAAAGGGGCTTTATTCAGCCAGGTGATATGACAATGTTACATGGTGTATTAAGTTTCCTTAAGTATGAGGACTTGTGCATTAAAATGGAAGATCAGTTAACAGCAAGAACAACAGAGTTGACAGACTACAGAAAAATGCTGATTGAATTTGGCAGAACGCTGGATAAAAATGACTTAGAGGTGTTATCGTTTCTATACAAGCTCAGGACAAACGAACCTTCGAACTGGGATCTTCTTTGGGAACTCGAAAGTTTAAAAGTACTTGATAATAACACTGAAAACATGGCAGCTTTTAAATTAAGACTTGAGCGATGCAACTTGAGCGTGGTACTGACACGTATAATTGTTACTGGTAAGTTTACTTCTTTTCTCTACAAAACCGTTTGAAAATAAATATTCAATGTATGTCTCCTATATTACATAAGTATGCTATCACATATAGGTTATACCCTCTTGGACCATTCACATAAGGATCGTTAGGCATTATGGTTTTCAATCGAAAACTTTATAACACTCTGAATGGATCATATATAAAGTCAACCTCACGTCAAGTTCGTACAGTTAGTGTTTACAAACTACCATTTTCTGTGTTAAAAGAATCCTAATACAACAAGTATAAATTAATTCACAACTTTTATTAAACAGTTTTTAAAATCTTTTTTTTAATCATTATTATATTCATTGATTAATGTATTATAATTGCGATACCTCACATTTTATGAACCTACTACTTTCTGAATCTCAAGTTCAATTTTTTTTGTCTCAAAACAAATCTTGTTAAGGAATGCTACATCGATTAAACTAAAGGAACGTGACCTCAAATTTGGACCATAAATTCTAGTACCTTGTGTCAGCCCCGTCGTAGTTTAGAATTGTCCTTTTTACTCGGATGTAGTTTTTCACTTTTACACTTCACTCAAAATACCAAAGTTAAACTGTACTATGTTAAATAAAGACCAGATAATTATATGCGGATGTGTTGAGAAATGTCGAATGATTTTTTTTCTCTTTTGCAGGGTTAAAATCCCATTTATTAAATCCTCTGTTTTTAATTCTTTGTTTATTTTATCATAATGTACAATTAATACATCAACATACACTCGTAAATGATTCAGATCCACACAATAACATGCATGATGCATACATTCACGTATACAGGTCAACTTCCCTATTTCCTTTTTGTTTTGAAGTAACTTGTTTACAAACTATTACAATGAAAACCCGGCGTCCATATTGTAAATTAAAATATATGTATAAAATCACAGTTGAATTCTTAAGAAAAAGAACGTAATTTTTTTTTACCAACATTTTATAAACATGAATTCTTGCTAATGGAAGGTTGTACCTTTTATTTATAACAAAGCTCTCAGTTATAGGTCAGATTTGAATATAGAAAGGAGATGGGGTGTTTTCCATATCTGTTTCTACCGATTGAGTGCTTAGCAATAAAAAAGCAATCTATTAAGGTAGTTAAAACGTTTTTCGTTAGTCTATCTAAAAGGTACATCACTTATTCCAAATGTAATAAATAACCCACTATTTAACTATTCAATTTCTGTAATTTCATTTCAAATATGCTTTATTTGAGGGAAGTCATATAAAAAATGAAAAATAGTTTCAATTTCATTCATTTCCTTACATAGAATCAAGGGTAATTGTCAAATAAACTCATTTTATAGAGATCAATTATTAAAGGATAAATAATGTGTAAAGTTAGTACTATATACCCTGAAATCATTTTTTATTAGCGATAGGTTTTCTCATATAGCCTCCCATTTGCACTATGGTAGCTTTTCCGACCATTTTGTTTAATAAAAATTATTTTGATTAACTCACGTGTGTGTTTTGTTCTGATTTCCGTTATTTTAAGAGATTTGTTCATAAATTAAAAAAAAAAAAATATCCGGTGCAATGTTACAATGTTTAAAATTTTAACTTTAATATTTCTTAATTTTTTATTTGCTTTTGGTGGGAGAGCACTAATGACTTGATAGTATTCTGTTAACAGGTCTTGCTTCCTTTTACTAAAACACCTACAAAGAGTTTCAAATTTCTTTAAATTACCATTGTCATTAAATAAAACTTAAATAATATCACGGGAAATCCAATTATTAAAATACAAAGTAGATAATTTTATATAAATATTGTGAGGATATCTGCAAAGAATGACATTCTTCCTTCTTCAATTAGGTAATCTGACATTGGGAATTTCATTCCTTTGAAATTTTTACACTGTCTAATTTTTGCTGCGAGAATTTCTACTCCGATAACAAAAAGGAGGGCGCTTAGTGGTCAACCTTGGCGTACACCACGATTCACGTCAAAAAAATCCGATATCCATCCGTTATTGTTAATACAACTTTGTGACTTACACATTAGAGTTTTAAGGTCCCAAGTTAAAAACATGTTTGGCGTTCAAATGAAATTCAGTCAAATGCTTTACGATAGTCAATAAATATAGCTGCACTTTGAAGATTGTTTGCATTTGTCATATCAATTATATCATCAATTATTCTAATATTCTCTCAAATATACCTGCCTTTTACGAAACCCGTCTGGTCAAGGTGTATAATTGTTTTAATTATTTTTTGAATTCTTAAAGAGAGTGTTTTGCGGCTAGTTTATAATCCGTGTTTAATATGGGTATGGGTCTCCAATTATCTAACAACTTTGGATTTCCTTTTTCTTCATAAAGAAGAGTAAATATTCTTCTTTTTTGTGTAGGAAACATTTCTCCTTCAGTAATTGCCTCATTGAGTCTATTGACAACAAGGGTTTTAATTATATGACTAGAAGGATTTGTAAAATTCGGCTAGTAGTTCATTTATACCAGGACTTTACACCATCTAACATCTGATCTAAGGCATTTTTACATTCTGTATCTCAGCAAACGATCCTTCACACTCTTCTTGATCAACGATTGAAAGTCTAGGAAGGTGGATATTTAAAATAAATTCATTCAGATCGTACGACAAATCCGACGTTCCTATTTAAGTTGTTCTTAAACTATATAAATCCTTGTTGTATTTAACCTGCTCATCTAAAATTTCATTAACTTTTGTAATTTCTTTACCGTCATTATTTATGAGGCTATGAATGCAGTTTCTTTCGCTGTTAACTTTCTCGAGGCCGAGAACGTACTTTGTACATTTCTCCCCTTCATACAATTTTGATTTTGACCGTAGTCTTGCCCCCTTTGCAATTTCGTATTGTTTCAGAACCTTTTCTAATTCGTCATTATTCTCTGAAGGAGTATTATCTTTTGTAACCTTAACGTATAGGGATTCCATTTTTTCCAAGGTTTTTTAGCCGGTCTCCCTTTTTTGTGCTCTTAAAAACAAAGTTTCTATTTTGTTCGTGACGATATATCACTGCTTTTCATGCTTCCGCATTCTTTTACAATTTGTTCAATTCTCCTTCTCTAAAATATATTTCATTTAACATGCTTACGTTTTTCCAATAACCTTGATCTTTCATTATTTTTTTACAATCAGTCATAGCCTCACCTTAAGCATGGTCAGATTTTGGTAAGTGTAGAATGTTACACTCGTGTATAAAGCTGAAAAAATTATTAGGTTACGCTATTGTGAGTGGAAATACTACCGTCTAACTTACGATCAAACAGGACTAAGGAGATCAGAAGCAAACAAGACATTAGTTAGCATTTTTATTTCACAAACATAAAGGTGATTTACTTAATTTACCATTGTCATGATGTCATGGCGAAATTGCGTCAAATAACATTGGAGTTAGTAAACTTGTGGTATTACATTTAAATAGACCTAAGTCGAAATAGACAGACCTATCCGTGTCCAAGCTTTATAAATATTGTTTACTATATAACATTCAATTGCACTAACTATATTTTTTTGAAATTAGGAAAAACAGGAATCTATGTATCGTAGTATAAAGTTAATATTGAACGCTAGTGTATAAGGGTCTATATACAAAACGAACAAGATTTTTCACTAAAACTAATAATAAACCCCCGACGAACCATGAGAACCTAACACAAATAGTGAAACACCTTCAAGAGAAGGTGTTTCACTATTTGCATTACCTGAAATTAATGAAACGCATAAGAAACAATTGTTGTAGATAAATTAATTTGAAGGTATGAAGTCATTATCAGACCACTCAGAATGCATTGAAGTGCATTTCTAAGCACCCAAAAAAAAAAAAAAAATCTTCCGGTGAGGGCTCCGTTGACCCTCTAAATTTACTGTATCAGAACATCATGTCTGCTTCTTATCACAGAATCTTTCTGGTCCCCTGGCATCAATTCATGATGGGCTCTTCGTTCTCATTAGTCCTAATGTAATTGATCACTCTCAAAACTGTTCCACCGCCTATTTTAGAGCTGTTTAGAAAAGGACTTGGAAAAATAAGACGTATTGATGAAGTGTATTCACATAACGTCATTCAAATTGTGTACAAAATAGTTAAACAACTTTAAAGAATCAAAAAGTAACGTGCGTGTCGACATTAAAATTGCTTCTTAAATATATTTTCAAAAGAAATTTTCTAGAGCATAGCACCATGGTACATCTTTATTAAATACCTCAATGAAGAAAATAACCTTGAAGTAATTCAAAAGATACGAAGCTTTTTATGTCTTGTTTTGAAAAAAAAAATGTCAAATGTGTACGTTATTAACTGTTATAACAGTTGTAAATAGACACTCCTCAAACATCACATTGGCGACGAAGACATATGTGATATTTATAGAACCCACCCAGCAACTCCACTGACCTGTAAGTACGTTACAGCTAAGGTTTTTAGCTCAATTACTTTAACAAAACAGGTCCACCGTATCTGATAACATGGCTGTCTCCGACGGTACCATCTCCAACGTGACCTCGGCGGCGTTCACAATCCCAGCACCGCCCCCAACTTACATGAGGCTTAGAGAAACTTTCGAAAACGCTTTGAAAACTTTGAACTGGTGACAGGGGTCAATGGAAAAAACGATCCACAACGAGTTGCTACACTCATTTTTTTTCGTTGGCCAGCCAGACCTTGATGTATATAACAGTTTTGTTTAGGAAGAATCAGGAGATAAGTAAACATTGACAATGTAATCCAACAGTTTGAAACTCATTGCATTTGCAGGAGGAACATCATTTACGAACGATATGTATCCAATAGTAATCCCACAAAAAAGGCAAAAGCAGTGATGCCTAGGTAACAACCATACGCAACCTTTCTGACTCATGTGAATTTGGTGAGCTGAGGCCTAGCCTCATCCGCGACCGCATTGTCTTGCAAGGATATCGCAAACTGACACAAAACACTATGCAAGATCTGTGATCAGGAAACAAAATAAAGGTGCCACATACAACAAACATCTAGAAACCAACCAACCTATCAGAATATACCGGCAGTAAATCGTAAACAGGCCACACAACCTACAGTTGTGTGTTATCACTGTGGTGGAGATTATCCGCATCCCAAAGAGTGCCCAGCGTTTGGAAAAAAAGTCTGCACCTACTGCTAAAGGAAAACAACTTTGCAAGTCAATGTCGGACAAAAGCATGCAACCAAGAACGCACAAACGCATTCATAGACACTGCACTTAGCGATAGCAATTCGAGTGAAGAATACGCGTATATCATCAAAGCTAGCACCCCTGACTCACAAGAGAGCAACCACACGTTGAAATACTAATCAACAAAGACAAAATGAAACTAATGATATAATACTGGTGCGTCGGTAAACGTCATGAGTGAGGAACACTACAACAAATTGACAACGAAACCGCAATTACAGCACACTAACACAAATATCTTTGCATATGCAGGATTTTCGATGGAGAGGTGCGTTTTGCAACCGAAGTGGACCTTACGATGGGCGACTGCCTAGGGATCACCGCGAGGGTGAGGCGAATCTTCTGGAAGCTCTGACAAATTAGCATTTTGAGGGCCTTTTTTAATGGAATTCTAAAATCCATAATTTGTAACATCCTATTTAAATTTTCATTCATTTGAGTATTGTCTAGGGACCTACAGTAAAGCAGAAGAAATAGATGGTGGGGGTGAAGGGAGGAACTTGCACAGACAGATATGGTAAATACCACCTCAGCCCCACCATGGTTGGGGCTAAGGTAAGAAAATGTATGATTATGGCACTTCAAAATGGCCGGAAATGGCATTCTCAGCCAAACTTTAATTATGATTTTTGTTTTTTCTCCATTTCTTTTATAATTTTAGGGGCTCTTCCCCCCTTGAATCCACCACTGTGAAATTGTAATTTTTCATGTTGTTTACATTTGTAGGCTTACAAATTACATGGATCAACCTGCAATCACTGGAGCTGATAATTTCCAACAGATTTCGTAGCAAATTATTAAAAATCAACGGGTAGAAGAGCGGGCAAAAAGATGTAATGCATACTATAGCATTTCGCGATAATTAGGAACAACTTTACTGAAATAATAGGTTTTAAAAAGTGGACTTTTTGAAATTTGGTGGTCCAGGGGTAGAGGCCTAGAGGGGACTTGTGAGAAAAGCGACAAAGTAGCATTTTGAGGTTCTTACATAATAGATTTCTTAAACACATAATTCATGAATATTTCATTTACATTTTCATTAATTTTGGTGTTTTTGGGACCTGAAAAAGTAACGTTATTATATCCTGTACATCTGCAGGCCTATAGATAACATTCTTCATATTATATAGATCAATCTGCAATCACCGGAGACGATAAATGTTTAACAAATTTCATACCACATTATTAAAAATCAACGGTTAGATAAGCTGGCAAGTATACAATGCAACGCATGCTATAGCGTTTTGTGATAATTAGGAACGATTTCGATTTTTTAAAATCATAGGTTTTAAAAGTGGACCTTTTGGAATTTTGGGAGGTGCGTCCGCACCCTCTGCATCCCCCCAGCCTACGGGCCTAATATGGTGCTAAGAAAGGGCTTGATACACTTGGGAAAATCCATGTAATCATTTACTGTAATGGTATTCATACCACTAACACTTTCTACATTGTACGGTTTCAATTTTGTGAAGGAGTTTCTGTTGTGTTTCACGAGTGCCAAGAAACTCTACGTAATTGACATACATGTTGCGTTGAGTGTTGATGCAGACAAAACTGTTGAAGAATTCATATAAAGCTACAGTGATCGTTTTACCGGGCTAAGCAAACTTACAGATTCTAAGTGCAAACTTCACGTCGATAAAGACGTATTAACCAGTAACAAATCCACATAAACGAATACCGTTCCAAGTAAGAAAAAGGGTAGAAGCAGAACTAAAATGCTCCCAAGATTTGGATGTCATCGAAAGATGGTTGATAAGCAAACATCATGGGTTTCACTCATCACTGTTGTAAAAAGCCCAAAAAGTCAGACTCTGCATAGACATGAGAGCTCCAAAGAAAGCTATCCAGCGAGAGCGCCATGTCACGCCAACAACTGACGACATCACTGCTAACCTCAACGACGCAACAGTATTTTCAAAACTTGATCTAAAGAATAGGTATCATCAAATAGAGCTAGACGATTCATTCAGGTTCCTGACTGTACTTTCAACGCACGATGGTCTGTTCCAGTTTAGACGCTTTTACTTTGGGGTCAACAGTGCAGCGGAACAATTCCAAAATCTAATCCAGTCTGTGCTAGCTAGTCTTTTTGGTGTGATCAACCTATCAGATGACATCCTGGTGTATGGCATAAACTCAGTGGAACATAACGAAAATCTTAAGAACTTTTGTCAGAGGCTGAGGGAGAAGAACTTGACTCTGAACAAAAGAACATGCGAATTCAACAAAGATACTGTTGAGTTCTTTGGGCATGTGTAGTATAGCTGTTAATTATTGCTATACTTTACACTACTCAAATAATCGACCAGAAATTCAACGCTGCTATTTTTATACTTTCAAAGACCATGTACGTAAACACTGCCTAGGTATAGGGATATTGTAATTACAGTAATAGTCAATTACGATAGTTCACTCTGTATACACTTTCCTCTCGACCGACTACCAAGAGATTTTAGCCTACCCTAACCATGGAGGAATTAGTTTAGTTTCGAAACTAACTTCTACATGCCCTAAAAAGCAGCCAATACCACACCACTTTCGTGACTCGCAAGAAGAAGTGTCAAGCACGTATGCATTATTGACGTTATCAATTCACCTAAATGACCTTGTAACGTTGTATATTAGTTGTGACGATGTATAGTATTTGTTTTACTATACTGTAGCTGACTTCTGTACTACACGTCTTCTGGTTGTACTGTACTTGATTTAAACACAATTATCACACTTCTTGGCCATCAACTCCAGCAAACCAATGTACTTCAAACAATTCAGCCAACACAGATATACTGTAATTTCAA